CCTGAAAAATTTCTTCCTCCCCTTCATAAATTCACACAATCTTTTTCAGTCCTTTTCTTCCACAGTGTCTCACAAGAATTTTAAAGAAACAGTACACATTTCCTCACAGGATATATAAGGTATACACTGCAAAGTGGGGCAAAGGAGCAGGAATTCTATATTACAAATAGTAAAGCTTTAAAAATATCAACAAAGCAGAACATTCTAACATAACAAATGAAGAGCTCTACATTAAAAAAAGACTTCATTATTTCAGTATCTCTTTGTTTGCTTGTTTAATCGTCCCCTGGGACAATCTGTACTGTTAAGAAACATGTAGAAAACAGTCATCAGTTTTTGTTGTTGTTCAATTAGTGCTATACTCAGTGTTTGAGCTCATGCAAGTGTCCTTTGGGGAAACGTCCTGCGTGCCATTAGCACTATTCTTAATGAGGGAAAGCATGAAACTCCTTTAGTGCTCTGCCAGAATTGTTTTATCTTCAAGTCAAAAGAACAACTGCTTGGAGTAACCCCAAAAAAAGCATTTAACAATTACAAGTGGCAAACAATATTCCCAAGCATTATACTCATAGCACTTTTCTATTTATAGGCTAACAGTTATTATACTGAATAAAATATGTATTAGGCAGCTTTATTATGCAGTCATGATTCCCCAGTTAAGGCTGCTACGATGCTTTCCATTATAAGCCCAGTTTTGATCCCTTTTACTCTTTCTGTGAGAGGTAGGGTGGGGAACAGGAGGATGTTTCATGTTTGGTTTCAAGACAAAGGAGAATATTTTTAGGAAGTTTGAGGTTAATTGGACATGCTGCTTTTGAGATATGGGACACAGGCATTTCTTTTTTCTTTTTTGAAGAAAAAAGCAGTTTAATGGCAATGTTTTTGTTCATAAAAAGCTTTTTAACTAGTTCTCCAGAATTTCTTTAAAATACAAAATCAGAATTGAAAACTAGGTGAAAGAAAGGTCTAGACTTACAGCTCTAGGAAATACATGAAGACAAAAGATCTAGCACTTTTCCTAGCTACATTTATTTTCAAAAAGGCATGCAAGCTTTTTCCACTGCGAAAAAAGCAAAGCAACAATTAAAGAACACTAGACAAAAACAAAACCAAAAGCAACATTCTTAACTCTTATCACTGGTTCCCTCCCAATTACAGTTCTTCATAAACAGTGGGGGGCAGGGGGAATAAAGCATTCCCTCTCACAGTTGCTCTTTATCTAACTGTCCCCTCATTCTTCATGTCTCTAGGTTTTCTATCTCAGCTTCATAATCCTGACATCAAGCATCTTCACATCTCTGACACCTCCTTGATCCTAGCTTCAGCAGGATCACAATCTACAAGTCTTTAAACCTGCACATTCCTTTTTTTTGCCATCCCAATGACTAACTGGAGACCGGAAAATTTAATGAACAAGGTAAGAGTAAAGCTCTGGCTAAAAGTTTGCCTTTCGTACTTGTCATACACACGAGCTCATTTAAACAATGCCCAAAAGCATTCCCTGTCTTCTCAGTGACACGTGTATATTCTAGCACGCGCCCTTACAAAGCATGCACAATGGACGCCAGCTGGCACAAACTCCCCTCACAGAGGAGCATCATGTAGAAGAGCTAGAATTTAAGCAGACGCAGTGGATGACCTACAGAAATGGAATGAAGGCAATTTATTTCAGTTGGATTTTATATACAGTCTTCTTAATGAGGCAAGAACTACCTAATTACAGAAACAATGGGAGATCTCAGGGCTAGGCAGTATTATACAACTGATGAGATTCCACAGACTTGCCACTTACTCATGTCACCTGAAGAGAGGAAAAAGGTAAAAGCACAGCCATTCCCAGTTCTAACTCCAGAAATGCAATGGGGGGCTGCGTTTTTCTATCTTTTAGTTCTGTCCACAAAACCACAAAGTTCAGGCATTTGTTTGAGAGACCGCACACCTGATTGCTGGAAAGATGGACAGCAGAGTCTACTTCTCCTCCCCCTTACTATTTAGTGTACTAATACCTCTTTGCCATCCTTTCTTTTTACCTAGAGAGGTCAATAAGATTCATTCGCTTAAGTTGTCTTAAGACTGTAGTAAGAAAATTCTTTAATTCCACGACAATCTCACTCCAAGTCCTTGCAAGCGTTAGGGATGTGCTGTTGTGTATGTAACTGTGTGCAGGTCTGGGCCCGACAATTTAAGAATGTGAAGGTCCTTGAATGCACCCGGAGGAGGGCAACAAAGCTGGTGAAAAGGCTGGAAGGAATGTTCTATGAGGAGCGGCTGAGGACTTTGGGCTTGTCTAGTTTGGAGAGGAGGTGGCTGAGGGGCGACCTCATTGCTCTCTACAGCTTCCTGAGGAGGGGACGTGGAGAGGGAGGTGCTGAGCTCTTCTCCCTGGTACCCAGTGATAGGACATGTGGGAATGGTTCAAAGCTGCGCCGGGGAAGGTTTAGACTGGACATTAGGAAGCATTTCTTTGCCGAGAGGGTGGTCAAACACTGGAACTTTGGTCAAACATTCTCTAGGCTTCCTAGAGGGGTGGTCGATGCCCCAAGCCTGTCAGTGTTTCAGGGGCATTTGGACAATGCCCTTAGTAACATGCTTTAACTTTTGGTCAGCCCTGAAATGGTCAGGCAGTTGGACTAGATGATGATTGTAGGTCCCTTCCAACTGAAACAGTCTATTCTATTCTAAAAGCTTTGCAGCTGTAGAGGCCCTGAGTCATCATACACATGCAGCAGGCCTCTAACTTCCTCTACTAGAGGTCTATAGTAATTTGGCCTGCTCTACAATGGACAAATACATCTTAGTCATTTTAAGAGGCTGAGATTTAAAACACTGGGGAAAAGTTTTAGAAATGCTGAATTGTTTCTGATAGCATATTTTCAGTTGTTTTCTAAAGAGTTTAGTCAGGTCCATTTTGATATTAACAGATATCTTTATGCAAGTCAGAAATCAATTATGCAGGAGAGTCGGCGTAGCTGACTGTGTATGAGCACTTACCAAATATACAACGCAAACCTGAAGAGAAATTTTTTCATTAATTTCTTTATTTTCAGGTTGCTATGGCTAGCTTAAGTTTACATATCTTGCATATAAAAACCAAAATCTAACTTTTCACGTTGGAAAAGATGTATTTTTTAAAAACCAAAACCAGTAATTTTTTTTACTCAGAGGAAAGAATCTGGAACTAGAAACCTAGCGTCAGGTTTGCTCACTTGCTTTGTAAGACATGGGTACTCTCAGAAGTTATCACACGGTAAGTTTCCATATGTCTGCTATGTAGGCGTAGTCTATTATGTCTGAGATGAATGCAAGCTAATTCCAGGCAAGCTGCCTTCAGTAAAAATAGAGGCGGGTATGCCTCTTTGAATTTACCCACAAAGCCACATACTAAGAAAACAAAGACAATTCAGGTGAAGCAGCTGATGCAGGGTAACTGGTTACCCCATTACAATTTTGCTCACATGGCAAGGCTGATAGCTTGTATCATGAGGTCTCACAAAGATTCGTGAGGTAGCAGACCTCGAATGCTGCTGTTCTATAGATAGCATTATATGACTCACACAGGACTACAAACTTGAGGGGTTATTCAGACAAGGCTTACAAGTCTCAATGAAGCTTTCAAAAATTTTTGTTCATAAAACTGAATGCAAGGATTTTCAGCTTTTATAAGCAGCACTTAAAATGAAAGTCCAAACACATTTCCAGCATGTCAAGATACTCATAATATACTTGGACTAGTATTGTTCACAGTTTGAGGTCATCTGTAGTGTCAGAGTTTTGAATTCTCTCTTTCTTTTCATTGCCTCATTACAGTACTAAGTTATAAACAGCAGCAAGACACACACAGATTAAGTGGCTCTTTAAGAATAACTACTAATATTTAGTTTGAACAACCCAATGCACCACAGGTAAGAGGACTGTGGAATTGAATTGGAGCCATTGAAGACTAGCATGGCAAGCTCCTTCTCGTTCAGAAATGCCAAACTGAGCTTTCACTTAAGAGCTGTCTCACTCTTAACAAACTTAAGTTTGTGTAAGACATAAGTACAAGTTAACCTGTGCACTGTTTGTCTTGTAAATTACATAGATATATTTGCTGCTGGTTTATCAAATTAATCCTATGGACATTTTTAAACAATTAAATCATTCAGGGCAAATCTTCAGCTCTCCTCAGCTGAAGAAGTCTTGCCTGAACAAGGAAAGATATACAGGATTCCAAAATGTTTAAAACAAGATTGATAAACAGAAGACACTTTTATGCCATGACCAAGATGTCAAAGCAGCAGTTACATATTTTGTTGCCACAGCAGTTGCCACAAACAAGGCATAACAATTTTAGGTAAGATTCAGATTGTCAGCAAAGATTTAGCAAAGAAATATGATTTGACAGCAAAAGTCATGAAAGCACTGGGACTTAGTATCTCAAGGATGTTAGTAAAGACTGCTATTTACAGAGAGGAGCAGAAAAAGATGTGATTGAAACAGATATACACGCCGATGTAATGCTTGTAACACAAAGGCAGAAGCACATTCTGAGTCTTTAGAAGAAAGAAAATGCTAATCTAAGGATTTTAATTCATGAACTTTATCAACTCAAAATGGGATCATTTCACAAGATAGTCGCTCCCACTCTCCTCCCAGAAATTATAACCCTTCAGGTGGGGTAAATGAGTGTGTTGTACATACTCCTCTCAGTCAGAGAAGACCAGCCAGCACATTTGTTAGAACTACTCCCAATTTCAGTTTAGGTCAGGGTCCAACTTTTTCCAGTTGTAGTCTCCCATTTAAGTCTTCGTTTAACTGCAATGATAAGAAGACTGTAGGGCAATAGCCTCTCTAATACCAGAGCTAACTTTGCTAACAACAAAGATTAAACTGAGTCCTGATTTATAACCACAGAAATGTGACAAATTCAGATCTGCGGCATGAAGAGGAACCACTGCTACATAAAGAGAAACTGAGCTTAGTGCAAAATAGCGTACTTTCCCTGTTTTAAAATAATTTACCTGGAGATATAGCTCTGTGGAACTGATACATGTCTTCTCCAATCAGTTCTTGTGCAACCTGCTTAATCTTCCGTCGGACAGCATCTAGCTTGACTTCAGATTCATTTAGTATTTCTTCCCCATTGGGAACACTGCAATCATAAAACAGAAACTGAAAAAGCAGCTTTCAGAACATGAGCAAACAGTTAAAAAATATTACACATTTTCTTTTACTAACCAATACATTTTCAATGGCTTCAGGAAAAAGCAAAGCTGATATTGGAATGAGAAACAGTTTAGTTTGACTTTCATTGATACCTACTGCAGATTCTGAAATTCTGTAGATTCTTACCATGAAAATAATCAACCAGCCAAACACAGTTCTGGTAGCATGATGTTTATTCCAGACTAGAATTTTAATTATTGCTTAAGTAAGAACAATGAGAAACACGTGCAAAGGCTTCAAAAAAGTATTCTGGAAAACTAGCAGTATTTGCAGAAGTCCTTCAACCTCTTAAAAAAAAAAAAATCAATATTTTGCAATACATTACAGTATTGCAAAATACAATACATGATCTACTTCTACGTGTGATTTTTTTTTTAGGAAGTAATTATGGACTATGCTCTTCAGGAACAGCTGAAATATCTGATTCACAACCACAATATATACTTGGCATTTAAAGTTTAGTTTATCTAATTTCCTTTCAACTTCCCCCTCCTCCACCCCCAAATAATCTATATGGTATATTAGTTTACAGTCTATTTAAGGAACTACTGATAGACTGGTCTCGAGAAAACATTTAAAAGCAAACAGATTTCTGAAAGTAAAGCCACAATAGCAGCGAAAAGCAAAGGAGAAGGAAATAAAAATACAGCATGGAAAGCTTCCACTCTCAGAAAAACAGGAATGTCTTACAAAACAGGAATCTAAAATTCAGAGTAAAGAGGAGTTTGTTGTTGTTGTTCTTTCCTCTACCAGTTCCCAGCTATCTAGCCCCTGCAGTGGGAGTAGCTATTTACAGTCAAGGCTGTAGCGGTTACTAGAATCACTGCAATGCCTCTTTGCAGAAGACGACCAAGTTAAAAAGAGGGCAACTTCATAATCCCTATTTATAACTGTTACTACTATGGTAACTATAAATAGTTACTACTACAGCAGAAATGCATTGATAGGTAACAAAAAATAAATTAAATTAAAAATAAAAGGAACAGGGAGAGCTGTTATAACTGTAATACGCAAGACCAATGTTTGACACATACAGCAAACATTTTCTACAACGGGCTATGCGAAGCTTCAAATCTTCCCGTTATTCTTCTAGTTTGACTGTGGCTTCCAAAGATTGCTTGAAGGCTCATGAGAACACAAAACATATAGAAGCTCAAAACTTCACACAAAAGCCTTGTAAGTTGCAGTATGTATTGATGTAAACAGAACCCAGGTGACCTCCTCTTTGCATCGATGACCTAGGGTGAGGCTGCAAAAACTGAAACGGTGAAGTAACTGCAGAGGCAACTAACCTGAAGGAAGGGTGCATGCTCTCCTCTCCCAGCTTGCTGAAAGCTGGAAAGCTCCCATCTGCTGTTATACTCTACTACTCTGATCCTGTTTAATACACCGATAAAATCAACTGAGAAACCTGAACCAGCATCTTTCAGTTCTCTAACTGGAGTGTGCATGCATTAGCTCACATCCACCCTAAAGAATGTTTATGGGAAGTTAATTAAATTCCTCTCAACAGAACACGGCAGCTATTAATCACAAATACAGAAAACACTGCAAGGCAGCTTCTAGGTTTCTATGAACACCTTCATGCTCAACGTGACTCACCTGGTAAACCTGTGGAGCAGAAATATTGTTCTTTTGCTTTCAATAGTTATATCACGACTGAGCTTCACAAGCCGTTCGTATTTATCATGCCTGGTGTCAAGCTCCAGCTGAAATGCTGCAGAGTCAATTATTACAGTAACAAGCACGGTTATCACATGTATACAGCGTAGGGGAAGAGCAGAGAGCCTGTGCTACGGTAACCGCTTATGGGCCCCAGTCCCACCAGCCTTTTCCCCGGGGTGCCTTTTCCCAGGGTCGGCAGCACAGCTGCTCCTGCACGGGGCACGGCTGCGGAGGCCACCGCTGCCTACCGCCTGCCAGAGCTGCAAAATTCATCATTAATACTACTTTTGTTTAATAAGTCAGGTTTAAATATACATCAACCCTGATGATGCTTTAAGGCAGCCCAAACAATTTTAAGGTAAAATACTTGTTTTAACTAGTAAAATCTATTCTGCAATACTGCTGTTCAGGAAACTGACTTAAAATTACACCCAAATTCAGCAAGATAAATTAAAAAATAAAACCTGACAATCATTAGTAAATAAGATCCACCAGTCTCTAAAACAAAACAAACAAAAAAAAGGCATTTGACTAAGGCACATATACTGTTAAAAATGCACCATTTAGTAAAAAGAAAGGTTGCATTTCACATCCCAACTAGACTTGTCCAACAGTCAAGTATTTTAATATCCCTAAGAACTAGAAGTACTAAAGCAAAGTGAGATCAATTACTTAAAATAAGATTTCTGACTTAGTGATGTAAATTCTGTCTAGCTACAATGAACACAGAGAAGAGAGGATGTGTATCTGGTTATCACAGTCAAACATTATGAATGTTTCACAGATACCATTAACATTTTGTAGATCATTATTCCACTAAATAAACTATTAATAGATACTTACAAGAAATCTAACACATCTCCTGCATAACTGTCTGAGGTGTTAAAGTGTCCGTGCGAGAAGACAGTGAAAATAAGCTAAGAGGTTACATTTTTAAAGGGTCTAACAAGTGAATATCCTTTAGAAAAGCGTAGCAGTTTGCTGGCAAGCGAAGTTTAGATGAAGCTAAAAAACCCCCTGTATTTCTCATCGCCTTGATAAAAACTCAGTTCCTCTTAATTTTGTTCTGTTCTCCCCAATCTTCTTCTGAAACTCTAAGATAAGTCGCAAATGCTCCCACTGATCTTTTAAATCTTTCATATGCCTGATTGGTGTGTCTCTTCCAAATTCTGAGAGTCAAGTCCACCACTGAATTATCATAAAGAAGAAATTTTCCCTCAGATCATAGTGACAGGAACTTGAGGGAGGGTGACTGGTACTTTCCTTCGTAGGATGCCATATATGACATTTCCAACGACCATTTACAAATTTCATCTACCAGGAAATTCACTATTCTGAAGATCTACAATATTAGTAATGCCCCTAATCTCTTCCGGACAGTTGCGGCTTTTAGACTTTTACATTAGATTTTAAACCTGTTAGGGACTACTAGGAAGTGTTTTGTGACCTGAAGTAAAACACAGACAGATACGGTAATCTTTAGCCTAAAAGGATGCAAGAAAACCTACTGTACTGTTGCCTAAAATTGCAAAGGATTAGAACTCGGGGGATTCTCCAGGCTGACACATCGAGACCACACAGCCGTTTCCTCCACACGTTCCATTTTAATGTCTAATCTATTACTGAAAGCAAAGACTCAGACTCTATTGATTTTGGTGGTGCAGAATCAGACCATTAAAAATGACACTTAATAAATCTTAAGCTTACAAACCAAGATACTACCCACTCTCTGTATCACTGAGCTGTCGTATTTAAAAATGTATTAAGCAAAAAAAGGTGTAACGGAATACTCCTTGGGTTTTGATTCATTATTATTATAGAAGACAATTTCTCACTAATTTTTTAGAAATCTTTGGTGCCAACAGATAACTATGCCAATTCAAGTACAACATTTTTCCAAAGTGATGAAAAAGAGCAAAATGCGTATAACCGTTTAATTTCACACATTAAGTTGTTTAGATTCAGGCAACATAAATAGAAATAGTGTGCCACTCCAGTTCACCTTACACAGCTTGCTCAATTATAAGCCACCTGGAGCACACCTTTTCTTAACGCTTGTGCCTGACATGGAGACAAAGACCACCTGTGTCTCCATCTGGGGCTTATAAGCACTAGTGCAATACAAAGAGTGGATCTTTGAAAAGCTGAATAAACTGTGTCCCTTACGTCCTTTCTGAAATTAACCAAACGCTGCTGACTGGATCTCATGGGAAAAGAGGGAAACGAGTGTTGTTTTGAATTTGAATTAATGGCAACCTTATGATAAACTGATATGCTTAAGGGTGAAAAATTAAAGTTGAAAGTACAGTTGCACTACTCAAGTCAAGCACAAGTGTATGTAGGTAATTCAATATAAAAGTTCAGGGGTCAAAGTTAATCATCTGCCAAGCTGACTTACACAGAAAAAAAGAAATATCTGTTTTAAAGAAAGCAGGGAAATTATATGATGTCAAACTGACCATCTGTAACAGCCATCCAGCTCTGACTTCTTCACCCTTCTTAGCTTCATAAAAAATAGGTGGGACGGGGAAAATTTTACACCAAGAATTAATCTGTTCCCCGTATCACATCTCCTTCCTGCTTCTGTCAAGGCTTCTCATTTCTGAAGCTCAACTTTGCCTTGTTAGGGCTTGTCTAATGAGAAAGTTCAACTAAATTTACTGGAGTTTAAATCTGGTTTTGTGAAAATCCTATAAAAACAAGTTGGTGGGAGGGAAGTTTACACTTGCTTATTTAAAGAAACGGAAATACAAGCTAATTTTAAAGAGGCACTCAAACTGAAATAAGTGTCTACATACAGATCTATATTAGTTAGCTAAACTCTTATTTTTAAAAAGTGCATGTGTAAACAGCTACCAACTCGCAAATCAATGCATCCAGATTTACATTTAAAGTAGCTTAGTCATCTGTGCACCAGAGCTAAGGGCAACAGCTAAGAGCCTTCTCAGTCTCCCCAAAGGTAGCCACCTCCTCCTCTTGTCCCCATGGCTCAGATTTTGCATTACACCTCTGCAGATCTTACAGTTTTCTGCCACCAAAGGGCCCGGTCTGAACACTTAAACGCAGTTTGCTTAGCATCAGGTTCAGCACAAGCGGGGTGGGGAGGGGGAACAGCAGGTAGGATGAAAAAGGGAGCAAGTAATGAGTCGGGTGGAGCTATGTGAAATCCCACTCTTGGGACTTTACTGCACAAAAAGCAAAACACCAAGCTCTAAATGTATGAAGTACGAGTCCAACTAGTTTCAAGTTTCTCCCCCAGAGAAAGCTGGTTTATTCCATCACTAAGTACTAGTAATTTCCTAGCAATTTCTACACCACATGTTTTTATAATCTGGCTTTCCAAATGCTTACTTACATTTAAAAGACATCATCATAGCTGAAGATGGATTAACATTCTCTTTTTCCTCTCTTCTTTGACCATGTGGAAAATTGTCATGCTTTCGTTTTCTGAACCCGCCTGATCCTATTAATAGAAGATACACACCAAAAAACGTATTTAAAAATAGTTTTGCCAGAACGTAAGCAGCATCCAAATGCTGTCTTCAGAGCATTCCTGACTGTAGCCACATTTTACAGGATAGAATAAGGTAACTGGATGAACCTTATTACCAACTGACATCATCTTCACGTTAGTATGCTACTTTTTCCCACCACATTCCTAGTGAAAATTAGAAAAAATCCTACCAATTTCAATGGATGAGCGTGGTAGGATCCTAAGTCCTTTTCTTTTTTTTTTTGTAAGGTCTTCACACCCTTTTATGTTTCCTTTCTGTAAGGCAATGGCTGCATGGAAATCCTTTTGTGAGCAAGGGCCTACAGGATTAGACCTTTTTTTTTTTCCCCTTTCCTTTTTTTTTTTTTGAAATTATTCTAAATATTCAGTTTGACAGGAGTCATTAAAACCACAAGTTTTTCATTACTGTAATTATTCATGTCTTCAGTAATCAGAAAAAGAAGCAAGGCATAATTTAAGTAGACTACCATTATCCAGGTACGCAGGTTTAGCTCCTGCAGCGTAGCATCTTAGGTCCTTACACTCTGCCCTTTAACCAGTTTCTTCTCTTTTCACCCCGATATAGCTGTTCCGTTCAACTGGCCTTATATGCCTCTTCCTTAGCCTCCCTTTTCAAACCCTCACCTAGAACTCATCTCTTTTGGACTGTGTTTTACTACTGATTTACACTTTGTACTGTTTCTTCCTTTCATCCTTCCTTCACCTAGGACTGACTCATTGTGTCATTCATGTTTCAACCATTCCTCCCTCTCGCTACCTCCTTTCTGTGACAGCTATACACTTTGTGTTCCTAACAGAGGCCAAAATTTGGCAAACTCTGACATACAAGCATACCTTTTTGAATATGTGGAGTTCTCTCAATTTCCTTAAAAGAAGAACAAAAGGAAGCTACTTAAAAGTTACAGACGAACACTGGATTTTAAAATGTTTCCGTTTAATTGTTTATTATCCTAAACCAAAACCAGAAGTGGGCGTAGTTACTTTTCTAAAAGAGGAAACTGAAAATCATTTTTTCCTTCTTTTCTGTTAGGACCTGAGTTCAGGGTTTTGTTTTTCCTGTAGCAGTTAAAAACATTACAAACACAACCCCTGAAATAGTGCAGAGAATTAAACTCTCTGCAGTATTCCGAAAGTTGGGAACATCATAATGACCTACAGGAAAAAACTAAAATTAGGGGGGGGGGGGGGGGCAGGGAAGAGAGAAATAGAGAGTGAAGAGGTTCCACTGAATAACCAACAACTTGAGTATCAGAAAATCACAGACTGCAATAACAGCAACTTAGCCTTAATTTAAAAAAAAAAAAAAATAAAAAAGCCAGCTTCCTTGTTGCAGAGCCTGCTTTCTGGCTGAAGGGAGGTCTGTGTGACCGCCTAGGCTAAACCAACACACAGTCCACAAAGTGAGTGCTGCGTTATTGACAGCCACTTACCACTACAAGCACTTTACAGGCCTAATGCACCCTCAGCTTTTGGCTGTAGCAACTGCTTTTTTACCACAAAGGATGATTTCTAAACCTACATTTACAGACATATCTGTAAAGCCCAAGTGAGAAGGCTGTAACACCTCTGAAGGGACGGTCTCTCTCAGTGTAAGGGCAGAGTTTAGTGACACAGTTGAAGGGAACCACTGGTTCACGGCAGAGGCTCACACCTCCGCCCCCTCCTAGCTGCAGGCCCCCCCCCGCTTTCGCCAGCTCTAACCCCTTGCGCCTTTGTCTCCTGCCGGCTCAGGGAGCTGAATCGGCCCCTGAGGGCCCGCACA